ACAGACCCAGGGACAAACACTAAGTGAGTCACACAGTGAGGGACAGCCTCGTTCTTCACCTAGCTCCATCCCTGGGGGCTGCCCTCAAGGTCTGGGAGGCACCATTCCACCTTTGAACAACTCTGCCTTCTCTGTGTCAGCTCTGGCTTTCGGTCCCTGGCAAGGGGAAGAACCTCACCGACAGCAGATTCTACTGCACCTAAGTGTCCCGTACCCAGGGGCACCTTTATATGGAAACACAATGATTCCACAAGTACCCAGCAGGTGCTCTACAACAGGCACCCTGAGAAATCGGATGCCTCTGAGCACAAAGTGTGCTCTCAAGAGATCCAATCTTGGAAGTGTCCTGGGAGAAAAGCTGACTGCATTTGCATCCAGAATACTCCAAGACAAGAGGGTGGCCAGCTCTGGGACAGAGGAAGGGAAGACTGGAAGACTTCCAGGTGGTGTTGCCTGAGCTGAGACCAGGAGAAGTATGGGGCAGGCCCAAAGCAGGGAGCACTTAGGCAGCAGTGCAGACACAGGCAGAGAGGAGCGGCGAGTGCCAAGACCACAGCAACACCCTATGCCCTGTGCCACGGGACCAGGGACCTCCTAGAAGGCCTACTCCTCCAGTTCTGAATATAACTGAAGTTAATTAATCTTTGGGAAAGTACAGGTTCTGCTATCTTAAAGAAAGAACATATTTATATATAAACATATCATTTTATTATAACCAAGAACAGAGAAACTAGAGATGCACTGTGGAGAATGTTTTTATGAAAAATAAACAAAATACAAACATTTAGCAGGACTGAATAAATTATGAAATTTTACACTTACCATATACAGATATAAAATCACAAATATTTTCACATATAAAATTATAAATGCTATGATATTCCTAGTATTTTAAATTCCAGTGAAAACTTTTAAATGTTCCTACTTTATAGTATATTTTGACATATTTAAGCAATGGAGTACATTTTATTCTAATTAGGACCCCAGTCTTGTGGTCGTAATATGATGGTGAGGTTCACTGTGTATTCACATGTGTACATAGGAAAGTTACATCAGATCCATTACACTGTCTTTCCTATTCATACTTTATTAACTGGTATCTGAGTCTTTATTGTACACCATTCTGTACTACATGTACAAATCTGAGCTCTCACAAAATAACTAAAAATGTCTGAGCAGTGTTTCCTGACCTCTAAAAAATTATATTTGCAATTCATCATATTGATCACAAGGTGAAAAATAACTTGCTCATTACTCTTGGATCTATTAATAAATACCACCCAGCTACTGTTTATCATCATGCAAACAAGTCCCACAGTTAAAATGTGTAGTGTCCCTAAGCTTCACTATAAGAGATACGCCTGTTTGCATTAACTTCTTATAAAAAAGCAATCAGTACATGTTGGAGCTGTTACTTACAGACAGGCCGTTCCGTTTTTATTTACTCACATCCTGAAGTGTGTTCCGGCATGCCTTCTTCACTCTTCCTCCCCATGACTTCCTTTCCCCACATCATGCACTCAATTCAGCTTTACATCTCTGCACCTAGTACACTGCCTGGGAGAAACCTATCACCCAAAGCTATCTGTTAGATGAACTTAATTTTATGTATTGCAAATCAGAAATACTTTTGCTCTGGATTTAGAGTCCAGATCTTAGACACTAACTTAAGCTTTCTGTTCCCAAATGATTGATGGCTCAATGCCTGAATCACTGCTTGGGAGGAACTAAATCTGTTAATGCAAAATCTGTCAATAAAATTACTTTGGACAAATTAACTTATAAGTCCTTTCCAAGTAGTTGCGCCTTCTCAGAAAGAAGTAACATTAAGCTAAAAAAGCTTTTGAAGGCATTTCAAATACTTTGTTCTTATAGATGATCCATTTTATTTTTTTTTATTGGTTGTTCAAAACATTATAAAGCTCTTGACATATCATATTTCATACATTAGATTCAAGTTGGTTATGAACTCCCAATTTTACCCCAAATACAGATTAGATGATCCATTTTAACTACCAAAATTAAAAACAAAACTTTACCTGTGAACACCACCAGCCATTTAGAAACACGGCTGTGGTCATACATGCAGCTACCGCCCAATTTTTTCTTTTCGATACTGGGAATTGAACCTAGTGATGTTTTACCACTGATCTATATCCCCAGCCCTTTATATATATATATATATTTTTTTTTTTTTATTTTGAAATGAGGTCTCACTAAGTTGCTTAGGGCCTTACTAATTTGCTGAGGCTGGCTTCAAACCTGTAATCCTCCTGCCTCAGGCTCCTAAACTGCTGAGATTATAGGCATGTGCCACCACACCCAGCTCAGCTACTCCCAAAATACTTGAGAAAGCCATACTGTCTGGGAAAAAAAAAATTAAACTTACATCTGGTGGCTCTAGGTAGATTTTTTAATATTGCTCTTCATATCTAAAGCATGTTAAATTCAATTTTGGCTATTTTATGCTAAGAAGAAGTTTGCTTTTTATAACTTCCTGAAAACAAAAAACCTAACTAAGTATTAGTGGCACTTATAACTACATAGTACTTCCCTTCCCACCTTCTCCTAGAGCTTCACATGTTAGATAGTTTTGTGAAAACTTCCTCTACAAGATAGCAAGAAAAAACATTACCATCCCCTTTGACATACAGGAAAGCTCAAGCAATGAGAGGCTAAAAATTATTTATCCAAGACCAGCCAAGTCCACAGCAGAAGCTTCTACTAGGCTGCTGACTGCTGTGTCCCTTCACCTACAGTGACTTACTTCCCTTCTAGGTCTACAGTTTAGAGCAATGCTAATTGACATGTTCTTACTACCAATGGTTCAGCCAGGGTATTAAGAGGTGGCAACTGGGGCTGGGCATATAGCGCAGTTGTTAGAGTGCTTGCTTTGCATGCATAAGGCCATGGGTTCAGTACCCAGCACCACTAAAAACAATCAGACCACCATCAAGATGGTTAGCTGACCATTAACAAAGGGGAAGAAAGAAAAGCCATAATGAAGAAAGCTTTGAGGAAGAGTATGAGGCACCGACCCCATGATCCTGAGGACCAGGTGCTCTCCTCAGAGTCCTTACAGGACTCACAGAACTGACAATGACTCCCACGTCTGTCCTCTCTCCTCCCAACTACAACACTAAACACTGACCTAGTCCCATTCCAGAAGCAAGCTAATGTACCACAGGCAACAGGTGCTTCAGAGCAGTGGGCCTCAGACCCTGTTCTATGCAGCCATTCAGAGAACACAGGTTACATTTGTGTACAGGAAAAGCAAGACAATGAATACCCAGCATGAATTAGTACTTGCATTTTTAAGAGGGGGAAAAAATCATAACTATTTATGTTGGCTAAAATGTTTCACCTTGAACATCTATTAAACTTCCACCATAATTTTGCTGTCCCCATCTCATTCACAGCATTGTCACCTATACACATATGAATGCATTAAAAATAGCTCCACTTTTAATATAATTCAACCAGTAAAATAAATTAAATTCTGTCATTTGCAGACACATGGATGAAACTGGGTCATTTTGGTAAGTGAAATAAGCCAGGCACAGAAAGACAAACACTGTGTGTCCTCACTCATATGTGAAAGCTAAAAGATTGATTTCAAGGTAGTAGAGAATAGAACTGTGGTCATAAGAGCCTGGAAGGAAGGGTGTGAATGAGGAACTGATGGAGAAATATTGTTAATGGGTCCAGGGTGCAGCTGGATAGAAGGAATGACTTCTCATGCTCTAGAGCACAGCAGGATAACTGCAGTTCACAACAATAACTGTACTTTTCCAAATAGCTACTACAAAGGATTTTGAATGTTCACAGCACAAAGAAATGATAATATCTTAAGTGACAGATATGTCAATTGCATTGATCTAAACATTACATTTTGCACATATGTATTGAAATGTCACACTACACCCCATAAATAGGTACAATTCCATGTGTCATTTAAAAGTATTTTAAAATCTTTTTCCATTTTCAACTGTGCTACTTTCCTCTTGCTAAAGTCAATGGTCATTTGGTCACTCACTATGCACTCTACCAGGTATGTTAAGAAAGCTTCAGCACCCACAGCCTCCTTCCCCAGGTGCACTATTTACTAGGGAAACAGAAAATACAAGATGCAACTACAGGCTGGCCCTACCCAACCACCATCCAGCTCAGTGAGGCACCAGGGTTCACAGGGCAGGACAGTTGGCCAGGCCTTTCTGGTTGTGGTAAGTATGGAAAGAACCAGCCAAGCCATGTAATGGTTGAGCTCCAAGCAGTCTTCTGTCCAGGAAGTACAGCCCCAGCCGCGCAGGGGGTCATGCTGGGTCCCAGCCCCTTCCCTGAGACTCTGGGTCACCCCACCCTGAATCCCACCTGTTGAGGGGTCACCAAGACCTTGGCTCACGAGAGTAAACTCGGCCCCCAATAGCCCGAAGGAGCACACCAAAACCAGCAAAGATAACTCCCTGTGAGATCCACCTCAGATCTGCAGCCCCGGAAGCCCCTTCCCAGAGGACCCAACCCCGCGAGTAAGTCTAGCCTTCCCAAAGCACCAGAGCAGGAGGATGCTGTGAGCCCCACCCCAGTAGTCCGAGCCCAGAGTTCCTACCAGGAGCTCCAGCATGCCATGCGGACACCAATCCCAGCAATGCCCCCAACTCTAAAATCCCATATCTTGGAACCACCGCCTGGAGCCCCAGCCTGCCTGGAGCCCCCTCCCCAGCTGCCCCCGACCTCAGGACCCGCCGAAAGCCCTCGCCCCAGCTGCCCCCACCTTAGGACCCGCCGGGAGCCCCCGCCCAGCTGCCCTGGACCTCAGGACCCGCCGGGAACCCCCGCCCAGCTGCCACGGACCTCAGGAGCCCAGAACGCCCGGAGCCCCCGCCCTGCCAGCTGGTCCCGGACCTCAGGACCCGCCCGGAGCCGCGCCCGGCCAGCTGGGTCCCAGACCCCGCCCGGAGCCCCGCCCCGCCAGACCGGACCGCTACCCGCTCGGCGCTCACCGCCGTCAGGTCCGGAAGCCGGTCCCGCATCCCCGTCGGCCGGGAGGAGCACTCCGCGACTCAAGCCTGCCCGGTACCGCCTCCGGCCAGGCCGCGGGCTCTCGGGTGGCAACGTCGCTGCCTCAGCCAGCCACGGTCCCGGCCTGGCGCCGCCGCCCTTCCTCGGGCGGCGCTGCCACGGCAACCGCGCCGGGGCGCTGTGCGCATGCGCACTGCGGCCCCCTACCAGCGGAGGCTCCTGCAGGAGTCCGTGGGCGGGGCTGAGGGGCGGGGTCAGAGTGGAGGGGCGGGGCTTGTTAGTGCTATTCTGGCGGGATTGATTTCTGAACTTACACATGCATGTTATTTATTTTAAAATTCGCCATTCCCTGAGTTTTGACAACCTTACAAAGCTATCAGAATAAACTGGGTGCAGATTTGGATAATGCTAACCTTCTCTTGAAGGAACTGAAGCCAGAATTAGATAGGCAGCCAGTGTAGATAGGTAAATCAAGTCAGGTCGGATCTAGGAGGCCAATTTTGAGTGAGTCTGGGAAGTTAGAGACTGCCCCCTGAGGGATCTTATCAAGAACCTGCCCCTGCTCCAACCTGTTGCCAAGGTAACCTGTCCCAGGAATTTCCCCTCTTTACAGGGAGCTATAAGGTTGTTGATGTGTCCTTGGCTGCTCCATCCTGCCCTTCCCCCTTCAGCCCACCTTTTCCCACCTTTTGGCCACCCCACCCAGCATTCCTGGGCCTAGTCATGTCCGCAGGAAGTTGAAAGATAAGAGGGAAAAGGCAGGAGAACAAAGAAAGCCTAGGACATATAAAAAGGGCAGAACACCTCCCCTCTTGGGACACCAGCTATGGCCCCCTTCTCCCTTGCAAGAGAAGTCTCCGTTACCCCTTTTTAAATAAACCCTGCTTCATATGCTTGCCTCGGTGTGCTTCTCTAACGTTCAAACTTCAACATGAGGGGAAGCAAGACTCGTCACTGATAAGCAGTGGTATCATTTTTGGAGGTTCCACCAAGGTCTACACAGAGGTAAGCTCCTCTCCATGCACCCCACATTTGTTTGAGGTGCATCTTTCTTCTTTCATTTTGGAAGACCCGTTGGCTATTTAAATGCATTAGTGCAGCTGCCATTCTTCAAGACTCAGGTGAAAGTTTTCCTAGCCTAGGCAGCTGTCAATCACCTGTTCAATACAGAGCAGGTATGTTGGGTTCTGCTGAAGCCACTTCCTACTCTTCTGTCCAGGCCTGGAGAGCAATTGGCGTGAGTGCACAGTGTCCCTAGTCCTGATATGCCTTGGATGCATGGAGGTGGAGGAAGGAGTTTGAAACAACTGCGGAATTTCTGGCTTGGGCTACACTCAGGTGAAAATCCTAAGGTTCCTTCTCTGAAAACTCCTCCCAACTACCCTAAAGGGTATCTAAGGTAATGGGTAGATGAATGGCATTAAGGGAAAGCCCCAATTACTTGTTTGCTCCATGCGGGCCACACAACACTCCCCATCCCTGCATCCATGCCCTCCTGGAGGCTCCCTTCCTTTTACCAATCAGAAACACTAGCAATTAATATTGTAGGACTGAGGGAAAGGTGTAAGATGATTAGTGAGATAACATCTAGTTCCTTTTGTTCGCATAGTTAGCCTTCACAAGCCAGTTTAAAATCTCCCATTACTGTTCCTGTGCTCAGATGCACTTACTGTACTTTTTAAAAAAATGCTGCAAGAGGGAGGCATTCTATTTCAACCAACTCCTCCCATAAATTCCTCTGGAAAGTGGTGTTTGTTATATTGTTAAAACCAATAGAGTTCCCCTTACCATCAAGAGATTCCTTTAGTCTACAGGACAACAGTTAGGCACAAAAGGTTAAGATATATACAATTATCCTGTTTTTTCATGGGTTTTTCATAATCAGGAGTTACGGTGGCAGGGTGGAAAGCCCTTAAGTCTGAATCCTCCCAGGGTCTCTGGCACAGGGCAAACAGGGACCCTAGCTAGCACTTTGTCAAAGGAAGCCAGAAATAACTTTGGCAAAGCCAGGTGAGGAGAGACGGATTTTCTGGACGGTAAGGAAGCTCAAGTTTAGGGAGACGTCCCTAATACAGTGGATAAAGAGTTTTCTCTGATGAGGGAGAAAACTTGAATTTTTCCATCACTCAGGTGGGAGCTTCTCTCTCAAGTCAGTGTGTAGATTGACCACTAGTCAACACACTGGGAAATCACAAATGATCAGGAAAAGTGCTGCGTTTTCATGTGTTGTCAAACTAACCTCAATGTCTACCAGGAGAGAAGGCCTTAAGGAATCATCTACTGAGGAAAAGAAATCAAGAGGAACCCCCCCCCAAAACTTAAAACAAATAAGAACGAATTCAGGGAAATTGTCAGAAGATCTAAATAAATATATTAGGATGTTTCTAAATTTATGCCAGGTGCTTGACCTCACCTGGAAAGATATTATATTATTACTTAGCCAAACTTTAGCCTCTAATAAGAAGGAGTCCACCCTAAAGCAAGTAGCTAAAAAATCTGGAGATGGACCTACATTTTGCCCATGCCCCAGCATCACAAACTAGAAACAAACCTAATTATTCATCTAGCACGCAGGTGATTCCCAGAAACAATCCTGACTGGGACCCAAATGATGAACAGGATGCTTAGAAGAATACACATTTCCAAATGTTGGTCCTGGAAGCCATCAGGACGATCAAGCAAAAGCCCATTAACTATTCCAAGGTCTCTGAAATTACTCAGGGACCCCAGGAAAGCCCTGCTATTTTCATAAGAAACTCAGGGAGACAATAAAAAACACCACCCTAAATCCTGAATCCATAAAGGGCCACCTACTTTTAAACGATAAATTTACCAAAAAGTTTACTCCCCCTCTGAGTTATGAACAGGTTTTGGAAGCCTTTAAGACATTAAACGGGGGCCTTAATTTGAGCCCCTGTTCTCAACTTACTATGGAGCAAAATTTAACCAATTTGTCAGTGAGGCCCTAGGAATGGTCACACAAGATAATGGACCTGCTCAATAAGAAGCTTTAAAAGAGCATTATATAAAACTGGTGTTCTCCAAAATAAAGTTGTATGGTAATTTTAAGCTTACAAGAATAACATTGGAGATTTATTTATATCATTTATTATCCTATAACAGGGCCTGTTATCAATAAGATATATAAATTTATTTTTTACACTGGGGTACAATTTAAATGTATTTTTAAGTTAATGAGAGCCTAATCTATGTAAAGGTTAATATTGTAAAACACAAACATTTTGCTACTTTTCCACAAAAGGTTAAAAACTCTCAGCCTTTCTTTAATTCATGTTTTAAATGTAATATCATATTGTGTTAGATAATATTCTCATGACCTTGAGCAATTATATATAAACTTTATAAAATGATATTTAAGAAGCAAAGATCAGCTTCAGAACTAGAACACTTAAGATTTATAAAGAGTTATGAAGAGTCCTGCCTTACCTGAGATAAAGTTCTGCATCCCATCTTACTACATCAGAATGACTCCACAGTGGGCCAGATTTCAGTTCATTTAAAGTTGTGTTCAAAAGATTGATTTTTCTGAAGATTACTAGGATCTCAAACAGGGGATATAATATGTAACTCAGCCAAAATTCAAAGTAGCTATTACACAAACAAAATATGTTTTTACTCTTGTTAATTTTATTTTGTTTTTTTTTTCCTTATAAATGGTCTAAAGATTGCCTATTAATTTTTTGCAAGAGGTATTGCTGTAAGAACACACAACCTGGGTTAATTTAAGATAATAAGCCTTCACCTACAGGACAGATAGGATAATGCAGACCCCAATTAATAAAAAAGGTAAATAATTGTAAAGTTATAGACATTAAAGCCCAATACTCTTAATTTATTTGCTAGATGTTTAAGATCAAGATAAAAATTAAAATTAAATTAAAAGGGCCAAGAAAACCAATATTTGGCTCTTGCCCTCTGAGTCAGTCTAAATCCAGGGAGCAGGAAACTTCTCTAAAGAGCTTTGCAACTCTGGGCCACATAACCTCACGATCAGGGAGATTAATGAGACCCCTGGATAACAGAAAGCCAATCAGTGCACTTGCTATGAACAGGAGGGTCATTGGAGAAGGGAGACATCCCTGATGCTTCCAAGCGAAGCCACATGGTCAAGCAAGACCTGGACCCATCCTAGCACAAATTGCACTAGCAGAACTGAGAAGCTGCTCTCAAGTTCCCCCAGGAGTGACTCCCATGGAAACTCAGCCAACTGTTAACAATAGATAGAAACAAAAGTCAGTTTGACTGCTTCATTTTAAACACCTAGCAAAAATAGTTAAAACTGAAACACAGCCATTCCTGGGCATTTAAAATAATAATAATAAGAAGAAGAAGAAGAAGAAGAAGAAGAAGAAATTTAAGGTATACACCTTGTGTTAGCCCCCAAAATAAGTAGGACTGAAGGCTACAAAAGAGAGGTTCTTGGACAGGAATGCCTGCTAACTATCAAAAGAAACTCACTATCAAAAGGAACTGCCAGAGTAGTTTTTAGTTTAAGGCCTACAGATATTCCTCACCTACACAGGTAGGCTTGGTGTTTGCTAGTATGATTATCCCACCCTAAGTAACAGCATTAAGGGGTTCTCTACTAGACACAGAGGTCATAACAGTAGAAGGACTTTACAAGACCAGATGACATTAAAGTATTTAACTACATCTTATGGGGATGAACATCTATCTGTAACATTAAAAGTTAAATGTTGTGTTTACATTCCTGATAACTGGGGATGTTAAAGATCTACATTACTAAATAAAGGCCTTGTCCTCTCCAACTTTGTTAGGGGACAACTTCTCAGTCCTCACTCTTCCTGGTGAGAGGACTAATATTATACAGTGATGTGTTCCAGCTGCTGCAACATTATTCAGTACTCATGGTTTTGTTTCTCTCATAGAAGCACCCATCCCCAGATGATTTTGCAACCGGTTCTTCCCCAACCAGACTTCAATCCAACCTGACTTCTAAAAGCGAACTCCAAAGCTGCTTGCCCCCTCATGTCGTGCCCCCTCACATCACCCCCTCTGGCTTTGAAGCAGCCAGAACAAATGTCGCCCCTTCTCCTTACAGCAGTAAGCAGTTTCTAAAATTAGAGGGGGGATGCAGCCATAATTAGACAGGCAGGCAGTGTAGATAGGTAAATCGAGTCAGGCCGG